TAAGCCTCGGTTGCTTAAGGTTTCTTCTGAAAACAATTGTCAATTTACCTCTCAAAGAAGCTCTAAACAAATGAATTTTTTTTTTTTGGACTTTGAGAAAATTGTATCATTTAAAGGTGTACATTCTGAGTTGATCTAGTTCATTTTCAACATAGAGTACATGTATCTGCCATATTTCTCCAGGAAAAACGTTCAAAGACAATGAAGTATAAAGAACAGAAATCACTGTTGTTTACTTACATCGGGAAAATACATTCAAGTAATGCTCTTTAATTACTCTATCTTGGTCTAATATACTGTTAGGAATACAATTATCTGTTTCAAATCGTGTCATTTACTGAGATTTCCACATTTCTTTGTTCAATAAAGGGCAGATCACTCTAACTGCAAAATACTCCCATGTAAATAGAAACTCCAGTTAGCAGTGTTTAGAGCTTCCTTAACGAAAAGCGTTTGGCAAAGAAACAGTTACCTTAAATCAGACACAACCAGAGTTGAACCGACTAATTTTCACACTTTCACCATTTGGCTAAAACGACTTACACTTTGGTCAACCTTTCCAATTTTGTTTTTTTTTTTAATTGCATTAGGGTGTTTCTTTTTAATCCTGAAATTAGACTGCGTGTCTTCTATCGAATTTCGTCGTGATAAAAAAAAAATTAAAGAAAATGTGGAGAAAAAAGAATTGTTCGTGTCTTTCACAGGAAACTGGAAATTGAGATGAGACATATGCGGAAAAAAGATCTTATAATATTGATTTTCTAACATCATGTATGACCTTCAGGTGATTATTTGCTGTTCTGATTTTGACAAATCGCCATTCCACGATGAAGGCCAAATCCAGTTCTTAAAATACTCCCCAAGTCCACTTCATAGCCTCTGTTATTTCCTCAATATCTCTTAGCCAAATAAACAATGCATTAAATTCTCATCAAAAGGCTTTTCCGTATCCTCTAGTCATATTAAATCAGGTGAAACTTTTTGTTCCTTCATGGCCTAATCATGCTATATTACACTACAGGTCATGGTTATCCATATATTTAAACATCTATCTAAGTATACGAAATAATGCGTTTATTCCGGGAGCACTTTCATTTATAAATCTCTCCACTATGTGTCGTGTTGTACTTAAATTCGAAATCGTTTAATTTGATTGTATATTTATAATTACATTGTATGAATATGTATAAATCATCACATATTTTATATAAAAGGGAATCTTGAAGTGTTACAAATCATAAACAAATTTACTAAATTTTCTATCAAATTTTACTTAATTCTAATATTTGACAAAATATTAGCACATAAGTAATTAAGTATTCAAGTTTCAGTTTTATGTTATAAAAGTTGGATAGTCTTAAACAGTAGAGTAAAAGAGAATAATAATACCCTTCTGTATTAGCCCGAGACACCAATATCAGCCAGAGGGCCGAAGGCCCGAGTTCTAATATTGGTTGAGGGATGATAGAAGATGTGATGTGGAAAAGAGTATGTTTTATTATGTTTATTACATACTTAGTAATAAAATAAAGCAAACATTTACTTGAGCAAATACAAATAAATAATCAATGACTACCTTCTTATATCAAAGAACAGTAATGAATATCAAGTAAATGTGAACCCAAAAATAGGTGTATTATCAAAAGTACTGTTTTTAAAGGTTTAATCTACAGGGGACGTGATATAAATCTGTAGCAGCCCTGCAAATCCATATCAGCCCTGCAGATCCATATCAGTCCTTGAAGGTGATACAGCTATTGTGACGTCAGGCATATCGCATATGCACAAAAAAGTGTATTTATTACTAAGTTGTAATAAATCAGTTTATCCAATCAATACAAATTTATATTTAGTTTCAGGACATACCTCTGAAATCCTATCTAAGACTCATCTACCAAATCCATCGCTTAACTGGTATTATGTGTCAGTCACTGCAATTCGCATGGCCTTCATGTCTTTTTGTAGGTGAGTCTGCAATTACAATAAAAAGCAGAAAATTATAATTAAAGAAAGAAAACAGTGCAAAAAAGGTAAAAATTGATCAAAATCAACAGAGCTGCATTTCTTCGAAGCTTCGCGGAAAATAATGCCACGTCTGTATTTTAAGGAAGCTCTAAACACTAACAAAAAGTGTTTTTTGGACTTGGAGAAAAATATATGATATAAAGATGTGCATATTAAGACTATTTACTTTATTTTCAACATAGGGTACCTGCCTTATTTCCACAGGAAAAAAGGTTCAAAAAATATTCGTGAACAGAAATCACTGTTGTTTACTTATTTACATTGGGAAAATTAATGGAAATAATGATTTCATTTTTTTTCCTTCTTCTTCTAATATGATGCTAAGAATATTTTAATCTATTATAAACTGTAAATATCCATTTTTTCTATCTTACTTTTATGGGCAGATCACTCTAACTGCATAAAACTACCCTACAAGTAGAACTCTTTAGTGTGCAGTGTTTAGAGCTTCCTTAAAGCTACAATAAATATAAATAAACACAGCCATGACGATACAGTTGACCATTTACCGTTCTGAAACACTTCCACAGAGTGACTCCTAGTTATCATTTGTAGGGCTGGGCAACAATACAAAATCTCTAGCCAATACCCAGCCCTAATCATTTGTATTTTGTTGTAGTTTTTTTCCCAATTGTGCGAGTCTCATACTCTAGTTTGAACCGTAAAAGATAATGCTGCGATATTAAAATTTCGTCTAATTATCATAAATCCACTTCAAAAATATTTTTGTCGCTGACATCATGGCCTTGACCCCACGTTTTATTAAAGTATTTCTTTCAGAAATTTTATATCATTGAACCAAGAGAGACAGAGGTTTAATATAGAATCTGAATATTGCTAGTGGCAGTGTTTGTTTTAAGACACTTTAATAACAGACCTCATATCCTTGACCTTTCTGAAAAATCGAATATTGTCTTAAATTTAACTCTCTTAAATAGAGCTTTGGTATATCGTATGTTTTATTTGACATAAAACCTTTAGAAAATTCCATAGTTACCGGCCAGCATGTGATTTTGATCTTTCACCTAATCTTTCATAGTACAAGAAAATCAATGTATTGTACTCTTTATTCATTTAAACTATACCAGAGGGGATCTAGATCTATATTTCTATTTATTCACTGTGATCGTTCTTTATTTTTAAAAATTATTATTTTTATTTATTTATTTATTTCGTCTTTGTAAGATTATAGTAAATGTTACTATCAGTCTTTACATGGGAATTGTATTTTTTCATGAGACAATACATTTATGAAATTATTTATATTTATCCATTTTCCAAGTGTTTGCCTATCAAAATTAATTATGAAACATTATCTTATTTCTAAATGATACTTTCTAGAAATGTTTACATATTCACTTTTTTGGATCCCAACGTAGAATATATTTTATTTTGGTGTGTTTAGCGGAAATCACTGTTTTTGTAAGAAATGATGAATGTATGTAATCAGACAAAACTTCCATTGTCCACTCGTCCCACTGCGGTTTGGACAAAGTAAGTGTCCTCCCACGAATTTTAATTTCAAAACATACTTTTTGTTATGTCTACTTTATTCAAAACATTATCTTTTTTCTTATCTTTTAATTAAAATGTTTTTAAAATTTATATAATACTATAAAAATATACTGAAATGATGATTAAGATACATGTCTTTATTTTGTAGAAATATTTTACTATTTGTTCCTTTAATAGATAATGACGTTGATATATTTTCAGTCCCTCTTGCACACAATACAATTGAATTATAAACGTTAACAATTATCCGAAGTCGCTTGGACTTTTTTTTATTTTCCCGTAAATGCACAATATGACAAGTCAAAAGACAAGCGTGTATATATAAAGTCTCTTGTTTACGTTAAGGAACCTAGTTAATGTCCCTGTTTTGAAAGGCCACAAACTCTTTTTATTTGACAACCTTTAAATAGCTTCGAGTGTTAAATATAACATTAGACCCTCTAAAATAGAACTTCTGAATTGATTTTTTGCAGAATTTCATCAAGTCACTAAAGATATTTAAAATCCAATCTAGTGTTTCATCAAACAGTATGACGAGATTAGATCTTTATCAGAGGTGACGGGTATTTCTGGGTACGGTACGTATAGGTTTCGAATATTAAGCATCGTATAATATTTGATTTAAATTCATGTCTTATAAAATAGATAAATGGTCGAACATTGAGCCGAGCGCCTCTCCAAACTAGGCTTTAGAAGGCGATGTTCTTATGTTTTGTACATCGTAATCCCACTGTAAACATGTAGGGAGGATGAAATGAATGTGCAATTTGACTGTCTGTATACTGTCTGTATATAAGATAATATATGTCGTCATAAATCGCCATTATGTCAATTAACTACTGAATGCAGGGCGTGACTGCGCTTAACACAGAGAGAAACTCTGGAAGGGTTCCTGTCGTTAAAATAGTTTTAAATACTTAAGTGAACCACTAATCCACAGATTTAATGAGTGAGCTATCCAGTCTGGATATTAATAACATTTTTTTTTTACATAAATCATATTATGCATGTAATAAAACATAAGTAGTGAAATATGAATATAACGGCGTTAACCTAACCTTGAATTTTTTAAAAGTACATTGAAATGTTAATGCCAGACAATTTTATTATTACTAATTACGCATTTTTCAAGAGAGTAGTGCGGCGATAGTTACTCGAATCCATAATCTGACCCATATTTCAACAGCATTTTTTTCTATATTGGCACACAGTGTATCACTGCAGACAGATTCAGAAGAATTACATATCAATCAGCGGTTTCTTAAAGAGTGTAAATGAATGAAATGACGTCAATTTCTACATCGACCAATGATTATTCATTTTTCAAGTATAAAGTTACAATCATATCAGAATATTTATTGGGCAACAAGTATAAACATTTCCACGTGGTCGGAGGCGGGGCCAAATCAACCTACAAAATAATATTCAATGAACAGAACAACCCAGAGTTAAAAATCAGGCTATGTGTGTATATATATATCGTTTCAAACAAACTATTGTTCAAATACCTATCCGAAATTATAACATTTTATTATGACAAACTGTCTGTTGTTTGCTCAGAAACTTGACTACTGCTCTGGAAACAGACACGGATCATTAGAAGGGCTTTGCTACACGCTATGAAATTTTACTATGATTGTACTTTTCCAACGGTGTTGATTACGATGATGCAGTTGACCACACTGGTTGCCGCTAAGCCAGCCTCAATGTCCATTCCCGTTGATACTGACCAGCAAATTCATTTACAGCGACTTGAACTTTTTAAACAAAAAATTCTTGATGGTTTGCAGTATAAAAGTGCGCCTAGAGTGACTGCATTTAATGAAACTATCGCAGAGAAAAGGAAGTTAATACAAATGTATAGGAATTATATGCGAAAAAAGGACAGGAATTACCACCAGGAGTCCGAGCCTATTGAAGGCACCACCAAGATGTACCGTTATTTAATTAAGCCAGGTAAGATACTCCGGTGACTGCGTTTTACGACTTGGGGCTTCCGACATCAATGAGGACACTAGACAACTTCTAGAGTACGCGACTGGGCATTTATTGGTTTAAATAGAGTTTCAGGCATTTGAAAAATGAAGGCTATGCTAGATATTCCATATCAAATTTTATCACCTTGTACTTTCACTTTTAATGGCACATCATAACAATGACATCTCATAAATGTTTGTAATAAAAATCTAAAATTTTAGCAGATATTCAATCAAGCTAACCGTGCGTATAATATCCACGCGTCGAAGCTGACAAAATCGCGTGGAGAGAGTATTGCTTGTCATCTCCTTGAGTGTTATGAATATTGAATAAAGCTGTTAAAGAGATCAAGTCTATGTCGCTAAAGCGTCGAAATGTTTATTGGAATACCTGTGCATGTAAATAACTAAAATACCAACGGCCAACTGAGAATTAAGCATTTCACTTGAATTATTTCATTGCACGATAATCGGCGGCGCATTAAATAATGTAAAAGATCTTACACTCTCGTATAGTTCAGGTTTATCGAAGAAAAGAGTAAGCTCCTACAAATTGATTTTTGCCAGATCCTCTATTGTTATTCGAATGCCTATTTTTTTTACTCGCTTTAAAGTACATAATATACTGACTGGAATTCTGATCGTGTGAGATTGTAACCTAAAGAAAATGAACGCATAGAAGATGAATTTGACAGGATACACAGTTTTTTCAGTTAAATACACTCTAGATATTTATTTTTATCCCAGATTTCTTAACAATCCAAAAATGCGTCTAGGTAATAAACAACATATTCTGGACCATCGATAAAGAACAAGGACATCGTGTTGATGACTGAAATCGTAAATTTTGTCTTTTTAAGAACAGATCTTTTAATGTCTAATTCTCAATGAGCATAAATAAAATGCTAATTTCAAGGTTTAAATGACGAAGATGAATTTTGGAATGCTTAAAGGAAAAACAGGATAATAAACTTCGGCGATAAGTCTGCAAATTTTTTTTTAAATCAGTAGATAATGCACGAAAAGTATTTTTCGAAGTGTATATGCCTTGTATGGCACATACATGTAAAGTTTAATTCTATTCTTGTCAAATTATCGCTAAAGTATGTTATAAATATCAAGTGCTAGACATCTTACTTTTCATGATAGCTTGATACCCTTTATATGGCACCTGTTAGAAGACATTTGCTGTTCATGAATGTATGTTGGCAATACGGACGATTTCTTAACAGACAAGACTAGTAGCTTCAATTGGATGTAGTTCTTATTGACTGTTCTTTGGTCCTAAAGAACGGCACGGGTTTCTGACAGATAAAACACTTTAACAAGTACAATTCCGCTACAACAATTCATAATCGTTAGAAATGCCGAGCAGAGGTACGCAACAAACCCCAATTTATTCATTTCTTGTTAAGAATTTCAATCAGTCCAAAATGTATCAATCCACGCTGTAGTGGTGAAATATTATTTGAATAGTTGTTCTAAATGGCAAACGAGAATTGAAAATGATGTTTGAATTGAATTAACAATGCGTTTGACATTTAATAATGGAAAACCGACATTCGAATATTCTTTCAAATTTTTTTGTATATTTCTCTATACATCAATCAACACTATTTGTATTGCTTCGAATCACGCGGAAATTTTCTTTAAACTTGAATAATAAAACCGCCCTCAATATTTTCATGTAGTATATGTAAACAAGTTCGAAAACTGTTCAGATGTTGAAAAAGACTTAAAAAGTAAACATTTTCAATATATCTTCATTGCAATCAGCATAAATCCTCCACAAAAGCTATTATGATTTTTTTTTCTTCAAATGATTAGAATTAAAAAGCCCCGTGTTCTTCACATCTGATTTCTGAAGTCATTGTTATCCAAAAAAAAAATTAATAAAAATTCAACATTAAAAAAAATAAAATAATGAAATAAAAATTTTGCATGGATTCTGGACAGAAGCAGTCAGCGTACATGATGCCTTACATGTGATGCTAGAATGTGTGATATTGCCACAGCTCGTTCACTTCCGTCTTATTGAACCCAACTGACCCTGGAATTTATTTCACAGGGTCTTGGAGTGTTTTTGATGAGGTTCGTGACGGCCCGAACGTCGCGGTCCCATATTTCGCACCTCTTGTTATCAGTCTAGCTGTTAGTAGAACCATGTAAAATCGTGCGAAAAGTACCGATGAATTCCTTCCCATGATAAGATTCACGAAGTCCTTTCTCTAAATAATATAAAGTTTTTATAACATTTTTAAAATCGTCTATGGATATACCACTGTTCGCGAAATCATAGAGAACTATTTTTAATTGTAGGACTAGAATAGCTTATGCCCGTAAATCAATTATGATAAATGAGATACAGGTCCCACGAATGTCTGCCATATTTACAAACATTCCAAGTTTTGGGTCATCGCGTTCATAAGATTTCAGCCAAATATTTTAAATACTTAGATTAAGTCAAGAGATTTTTAGAAACAATAGCTTATCTACCCATGTACAGCACAGAGTTATGATTGCAAAACATGTCAGAGGTCTTCGACTGGAAATAAATCATTTGTTCCCTTCTACTTTGCATTAAACAAGTTATGTCTTACATTCTAACTTTATTTTCAAAGTAAAAGCTCCTGTAACACTTATTATTTATTTACCAGTTTTGTGATCTATGATACAATTTTAAAGATTTTCTGAAATGAATATTTTGTCTGAGAAGTTAATTTTTGGTGTTTTTTGTAATTTGCAGATAACAAAAAGGCAGAAGAGAGAAGACTGAGATTTTTCATTCAACCGGAAGTTAGCCATTCGGAAGACCACATGACAGAAGTAGCCGTATCTAGTGCAAAATTGAAACTATTCAAACATTCTTCATTGACGTCAACTCCTACGAATGAAGCTGAATTAAAAATTTTCATCAATAATCAAGTTTTGGAAACGTTAATCGAATCTAGAACTATTGATGTGAGTAGGGACGGTTGGGAAATATTCGACATTACCAAGGTTGTTCAAGACTGGATAGATGATCCAGAATTAAATTACGGAGTAGAAATTTATGCAGATGGCCTCGATACTGGTCAGTTAGTTTTCCCTTCTCTAGACATTACAGAAAGGAAGAGCTCAAAATTCAATACAACATCAACAAAAGACAATATTGTGGTTCCAATTCTAGAAATAAGAACGCATGAACGTTCAATATTAAAACGTGTCAAACGGCGAAATAATTTAGAAAGAAGAGACTGCGTCAAAGGAGATGGAGAAAGTAGGTGCTGTCGCTTCACAACGACCATAGCTTTCAGTGATTTGCACTGGGACGATTGGATAATTGCACCGCCCGAATACGAAGCCCATTACTGTGATGGAAGTTGTCCAGATCGCTTTAAAATGGCCAACACATTCGCAGGAATACAGGCGAGACTGCATACTTTATATCCTAACAAATTTCCCAAACCGTGCTGCGTTCCATCAAAGCTTAGTCCACTAACAATTCTTCATAAAGACAGTGATGGAAAATATCAGTTCACGGATTATCCAGACATGATCGTAGAGGACTGCAAGTGCGCATGACAGGAACTTAACGCTTATTTATTAATTATCCTCTTGTGTTCAAAAAGTAAGCGAATAAAACGCTCCCCATTTTCCACAGCTGTGCATCAGAGTTGCTGCTCAACTGAAGTGTTTGGACTCAAAAACGCCAGTTACTGCAAACTCACTTGCACTGAATTTAGCCATTTGAGAATTACAGTTTAGAATTGCAATGAGAAAAAAACTACTCAATGCTTTTTTTTATTTTGTTAATCTGCTTGTTTTTTTAAATACCTTTTGGTTACATGTATGTAGTCTCATAACAATGCAAGCACACTCAGAAGCAACCATCCTTCTTTGTAAGGCAGTCATTTTTTTTAAACAAGCCGCTTGGTAGTGGTTCTTCGTATACCTCTTTTGCAAATGTAATTCTTTAATGTGTTCAAAAGTTCCACCATCTGTCCACACTACTGCTCTCGGAGCAGTAAAAGTTTGCGTTTAGGGGACAACTTTCGGAGACTGTGAAGAGAATCTCATACAAATAGTATCTGTGATGAAGATGTGCTTGTATTTATATGTGTAAATGCTATATGAATGCTACTTGTATGTTCAGTTGTTAACTTATTAAAATCGTTATTGTTACAGAAATCTTATAACTGGTTTTACTTGTTTTCTTTATTTTTTTTTTATTTACACGCATTGATAATTTAAAGAAAAAAACAGACAAAAAATTAAAATATTCTGAAATATATTAAACTGAATATCATGAAAATATTTTGTATATACAAATGAACATGTTATTGAAAAACATCTCAACTTTTTTTTATAGATGTATAAAATTAATTGCCCATTTACAATTCAAATCATGAAAATCCTTGATTACCTGTAAACATTTTCTTGATACAAATATCTAAATTTCAAATACCCCAATAGGAAAAATACCTAAATATAAAATGTTCTACATTATACATATTGATTTTGTTCAAGGTCAGATGCGTGGAGCGATAGATGTATGGACTATCGATAATTCATATAAAATATTTAGGTTAGAAGGCAAAACGCAACGTTAAGGTTTCTCTTTTAAATCACGTTATTGTTGCGCATTATCATCATGTGTCACGCTGTCTTCCAGTCATATCGGGTATTGCACGCTAAGAAATAAACCTTGAATTAGCAGCTACTCTGCTGCTTATTGAAATAGTCAAAATTGTCCGCTCTGGGGAGTTTTGGTTATTTCTAGATTTCTCAAGATATATTTGGCATTGTTTGCACTTCTGTAACTTTTTAAAGATGGGAAACATCTTGTTTTTATCTGAATCGCCAAATGTAGGAGAAAACATAAAAAATGACAAGACTACAGGAGTTACTATATAAATGTAAATTCTAATGAGCTAAATCGGTAGTGTGTTCAGTTGGGTCACAAAGTCAGGAAATTTGAATTTAAGCGATGATAGGACGCTTACAATACACTGACAGGAAAGATGGGAATGCTATATTACATTCAAGGACAAGAATTCGATACTTGGTATTAAAATTTCTGTGTATAAATTGTTCCATTTTTATTACTAGTTTGTAATATGCTAAGTCACCCTCTGCTCAGTGTGTGTAACGTGTATATATGTATAGTGAGAGGAGGATAGGAATTATCATTCATTCTCAAAATAATTACTTCCATTTTAAAAAACTTTTACAATGCATCAATTGTGCAAGTTTGATTAAATGTTAGATTCCCAATTGTTCACTTCTCAAAATGTCATAAAGGTAAATAAGAGAGCTTAATATCCAGTCTTTGTGAACTCTATTACGAATAAACTAGGGACTCCTAAGCGGACAATATTCTCTACACCATTATAGTAATCAGGTTCTGGATTACTGCATTCAAATTCACAGATACGTAACGCAAGAGAACCTGGTTCACTATCAACTAATTATCAATGATGTATAATGAAATACGTTAACAGCCAAATATTTAACAAGGGCATTGGCCCTTTATTGCAGTTTTAAATCAAACCCAATGAAAAATGTTTATAAGCCCTTTTTATGTTTCTTTTAAAAGGGAGTAAGTAATGTAGAAACACCCCAGGTTTTTTTTTACACTGTAGCTTTATTTTGTGATTAACTTTTCTGTTATAAAAGAGAACTCTAATCTAGTTATATGGAGCAACCAGTTTTGATTTTAAAAGACTATTAGAATTACAAAAATGTATAATATCCATCAGTTGCCTAATTTTTAGCGTTTTTGACCCGTTATGATCGAGTCAAACTTTTAAATTGATTTGAAAAATTTAAATGGGGAATTTGTATGTAACATAACTTTTTGTATGTGTTTGCTTTGGATCACGCAAATTAAAGATTCCATTATATATATATATATATATATATATATATATATATATATATATATATATATATATATATATATATATATATATATATATATATATAACATTCAAACCGCCATTTTTGCAGTTCTGAAAAAAAAATAAGCACCGTCATATTCTAAGACGATCGTCTGGTACTTTTTATTGTGACCCCTATACTATCTTCGTTGGTAATCGTTCGTTTTTTTTAATTACCAAATAGTTCGTAAAAATTCCAGTATAGATATTTGTACAAGTTATATGTATAATAAAATAGCTTCATTGGCATTAGACTCCGCAAAAATGGCTGAACAGGACAAGCCAACTTCTTTGAAAATATTACCCAATCTTCTTTCCGAGCTGTTCTCAAACTTAGTTAACAATTACGTTGGCCTTTTAGATTTGATAATATTGGAGGTTTTTTACGCAATTAGTCTTTTGTCTTGTAGTCTCGTTACATCGGTCTTCTACAATTATGTTGGCTAGAACCTATCTGTTATGGCTCTGATGCCCGGTGGCGTGGGAGTGTCATTTCAACACATTGCAGGATTCTCCTCTGCTTTATTGTATTACTCAAAAACACTCTTCAACCAAACATCAATTTTTCATGATTTCTTGTAATTTCTGTGTCCTACCTTCTACTGATCAAAATTTCATCTCATATGCTTTTTTTAAGCCTCTAAGACAAAATCCGAATGTCACTTCTTCCTAGGATATATTTGGCCGAGTTTTTTAATGATTTGTACGTTATGTGGAGGGGAAAATCCGTGCCTCCTTCTTCTTCATCATGCAGGGTGGCATCTCTTAAAAGGGATAATTCTCCGTAATTAACCTATAACAATGGCCCTATCCCACGTTTTCCGACCTCCAGCGATACAGATGTCCATTTTCTTATGACTCACAATGGTACTGTAGATGGCACGGGTAACATAACACCGTAACATCGTGTGTGTTAGGACCCTCCGGTGAAAATCTTGAGATGTGATTTGTAAGTATGTATTTTTATAAATCAAAGCGTGAAAAATGTTTCTGAAACAGAGTCAACCCCAGTGTGTTTCTTAGCTGATAAGTGTGTGTGGCATTTTCCGTAAAATATCGGTAATAATATTTACATGTAACACGTATAGCTTTGAGTACAGGGTGAAACTAACTCTAGTTTTATTGTAGCTGTCACCCGTTTCACACCTCTTAAACTGACCTGTGGTTGAAAGCTGACACACGTCGTCTTATTCCAACAGATCACCATGGCATTTGACTTTGTGTAAATAAATTAGCAACCCATGCGACAAAACTGACACTTTGGACTGCAATGTACTGAAACAGATCTTATCACAGACAATGCAAATCAATCTTTGCCTAGGATAACACATGAAAGCAACATAAAACTTGCTTATTTCCAATGGGGTACTAAGATGTGACAAGACTTATAAAGTTACTTTTCAAGTTTAGATAATCTTTGCTGATAGTTTAGGGAAAACATTCTATATACATGTACATATTATGTACCCACAACTTGCATATAATTTCGATCCACTAAAGATTTACATGTAATATGACAAGCATAATCTAAAAAGCATCACTTATCAGAGTGAACCTCATGTTCAATTTATCTACAATATCTTTGCATAAAAGTTTCTGTAGCGCAGAAAATGAACTCATTTCTAACTAAAATGAGACACAGTGCAAGTCTCCTTAAGTCAGATCTTTTTAAAGTTAGGCTTTTAGATAACACTCGGTGTTCTTGTGGATATAGTAACAGAAAACACTGAACACCTCTTCCTGTATTGTAAAAAAAAATATGCTGAAATAAGAACAGAATTATTTCACACCATAAGAATGAACACAGGAGTAATAGACCTGGACACAATTCTATTTGGGAACACCCAAACTTTGGTTTACAAAATTAAAGCCATGCACAAATATATTTTAAAAAACTAAAAGAATTTTATAAATAACCAGCGTAACAATTCTGTATCTATTACAATCCCTCCCCATTCTTACCTACTTTTCCCCTTCCTTTCTCATTTCCCTGTACTTTTTTTGTATTGTACATTTGTTGGTTGTACATCACGTGTATATATTTATGTACATGCATATGTCATTTTATTTTTGTTGGAGAGGACAATCTAAGTTGGTAAGACTTGTGTCCAATCCTATTGATTATTTTCAATAGAATATGTTTAAATATGACTGATTGCACATTTCTACATTTTTTAATGATTATGGTCTTAACTTGTTAATATTGAGCACTCTCTCTCTCACTTTCCGACCTCTGGTTACCCAATACAGAGACCTGTTAAATGGACCGTTAATGACGACTTAATAGTATTACATTTAAGAAGTCAATGTATTAATTATATGTGCATTTAAATCAAGAGAACATGTAATTTGAATCGTCTTTGCTTTGTCCATTTCGTGGCCTAATAAATGAATGAAATTTTATATACGAGTTCATTGCAGGGGTACGGTTTTTTCTTTCGTCGTTTTTAAGGACTGGATAAACGAGATAAAATATTGCACATTTTAGAGGCATAAAGATTGTCCAAGCTTAGATTAGATAATTTCAAATCAATTTAAAATCAATACAATATAAGACTAGCACAATTGACTTTGTACATTCCAAAATTTAGAGTTGCATTTTTTACTGATTTCTCCGTCATCAAGACTGGAAATGAGCTAAAGGACTACTTAATACATCAGCAGTTACTGCTTTCAAATCTAAATCAGGATGAGGAAAGAAAATTCAAAACTGTTAATTAAGGAACAGAGCTAGCCTATTAAGAAATTCAATAACATTACAAAATCTGATTTATTTTTTTTTAAACAAGACATTTTGGTAAGGAGCAAATGGTTGTAATTATGATCTCAGTTACAGAAACGTCTGATGATTGTGCATCGATATATAAAATAAATATTATTTGAATTTAAATTTTATTTTCATGTATGAATGGAAATTACGCTGTGCTTGTTTCGAACGGAAAAATAATTCAATTATGTAGGTAAAATTTGGACTTTTTTTAGCACCAAGTAAGTCCAGAACCTTGGAGTAATAGAATTGTGCTAAAATGTTCTGTTTGAAAAAAGTTCGCAATCCCTATTTGATAATTATTAGAAACAATTCGCGCGCCCAACAAGAATGAGGTGTCACTATACCATAAATGAAAATGTCAAAGAAGTGTCTATTCCGAGTCTTTTGGCACATTGTAGGACTTTCTTTGTGCACTTTTCTTTTTATGGTGGATGAGTTTATAATTCGAAAACCACACGATTGTTTACTGACGT